AATTAATTAATTAATTTATATTTGTTTTGAAGGGGGTGTCTTTTTTTAGAATCCATTTTTCACTAAATGACATCAAGGTGACTTAATACGACTATGTATTTTTCTGACCCCATCAGCTTGTCTTAACAAATACGGCTTTTGAAACCTTGTTTCCTTTTTATTCTACCTCTTCACAGCTGTGGTCAGCGCACCTTCTTCATCCCTCACCCGTTCTCTTTCTTGCGCCATTCCATCACTGAGCGTGTGCTTCGAGCAACACACCGCGGCAACCACAACTGTTACTGTAACCTGGACTACAGCAGCAGAAACAGCAGCGACAGCAGCAGTGGCAGCAGTGGCAGCAGTGACCGCCTCGGCAATGGTGCTGGTGGCCGCAGAGGGGGCGGTAGTTCTGGTGGCCGCAGAGGGGGCGGTAGTTCTGGTGGCCGCAGAGGGGACGGTAGTTCTGGTAGCCGCAGAGGGGGCGGTGACCCGCATGACCAGATGATGGGTGATCAGCCAATGGGAGGAGCCTTGTCGTATCGTCAGGCGGCTGTGGACAACGGCATAAACTGCCCAGCTGGGGACCGCTGGTGCCAAAGATATATGAGGCGCTTCGCGGATCAGACAGAACCAAGAACAGGTTCCCTCTCAGGAGGGGACGAGGGCCGGGATACCCCTTTGTTTCAAGGCCAAGGTCGTAGAGGAAGCCGGAGACGGGGTCAGGGTCGGAGAAGAGGTCACAGGAGAGGGGGTCACGGGGGCAGACGTAGAGGACATCATTCTCGTAGTCGCCCTTTCCGCCCTTACCATAGCCGCCATCAGCAACACGTACACCATTTCGGGAGTGAAAGTGTCCGCCCAGATCAAGGCTTTTCTGGCGGAGCGCTCTGAGACTGCGCGAACGTTAGCCTCACACCCGTGCTCCGCGCGCCAACTCACCGCTGCCGCTGTCCGCGGCGTGATGTGAGCGACAGCTGCGCGTGCACGAGGCCCATCCACGGCCAGAGGGGTACGGTGCTGAGTTGGTACTGCGGTTGCCACAACCCGGACGAGCTGACCATGGCTATGTGCCACCAGTGTCGCCCATGCCGAAATCAGCGTCTGTGCCGGCAGCTCACAGAGGAGGCTCGGTGACAAGAGCGATGCCGCTGCCTCGCGGAAGCGGGGCGTGACGGCGATGCTACGATCAACACCGCCTGACAGGACGCTATCGCTACCGCTACCGATACCGATACATCTACCACCCAGTTGCCTTGACAGCAGGTGGCGACGACGACAGACGATGGGAGTGAGCCAGCGCCAGTCGCGCGACTCTGACGCACGGACGGAGAGGGAAATACAGAGTGACGCAGTGTCACCACCACCGACAACAGCTGACAGTGACAGGACGAAAACGGTAACACAAGACTGTGACAGTGACAGACAGGTAATGTCGCTAACTGACAATGACAGAACGGTAATGTCGCTGACTGACAGTGACAGAACGGTAATGTCGCTGACTGACAATGACAGAACGGTAATGTCGCTGACTGACAATGACAGAACGGTAATGTCGCTGACTGACAGTGACAGAACGGTAATGTCGCTGACTGACAATGACAGAACGGTAATGT